ATCTCTGCCCAGGTGGGTGGGCGGGGAGAGGATGGGATGGCGATGTTGGTGATTTATAACTTAGTTAAGTGGATTATTGGGGGTCTGTGTTGTGAGTTAGATATTTTTAGATCGGAACCAACAGACTGTTTTTGGCGATGGCTCTGTCATTGACTCCTTCTGAAGCTTTCCATTCAAAAGGTTCGGACTAAATTTGTAAAAAGAAAACAGCTGTATGACCTTGCATAGTTTCACTCAGTCAGCACCTAGCAAGAGAGCGGCCAACTATTCGCTGGAGTACTGTAGGAAGAGATCGGCGAACTATTCGCTGGAGTACCATGTTAAAATTGAATACCTACTCTGACTTGCGCTCCTAATCACTCGCTGGTGACCTCTTATAACCCACGAGTGATTCACTCAAATGGCCCTTCCCCGAGTGTACCCATCGTGATCCCCTAGCCCACCCACCCCAGCTCTCCCCTATCTCTCAAGTACCTGGTTGCGCCCGCCAGCGGCAAATGGCTCACCCTAAATGACCTCCACGACCCTGCAATGACCCCCAATACCTCCCACCCACACACCTCCCCTAGGCCCTAGGTATATGTGTGCTACTATCAGCTCCGAGCGCCCTAAACCTCCAGAATTATCACCTGGTGCCTAGTGCAGCGGCACCAAACAATGGGCTGACTATAAATGACCCACTAAACTTCTCACCAAACTCCCTAAACCTACCACACTAAACTCACTAAACAAACAGCTACCCAGTGACCTCACAATCACCTTGCCCCTCTAACCTCTCTGACACCTCCCCTGGGTACCTGGGCCCTGTCTCACGGCCCGACGCTGCGCTACGCTGCTGTATTGGTGCGGCGTGCGAGACGAATTCGGCTCGACGCTCCAGCGTTGCGAGCGTCTGAGTTTGTTGATGTTTCCATGGAAACCCAATACACCGCTACGCGTATCGCTCTGCAGCGTAGTGCCGTGAAACAGGGCCGGAGTACAATGGACTGACCCAATGATTCACTATTGACCCACCTGTGTCTCTCCCTCAGCTTGCCCTGCCAGTGAAATGACTTGTCCCTAGTCTGGTCCCTCCCTCAGATGCCTAGTTCGTCAACAGCAATGAACTGACTCGAAATGACCTACTACTGACCCGCATGACCCCAAAATGACCTGTCCCTCTGGTCTCTCCCCAGATACCTAGTACGTCGTCAGCACAAATGACCTACTACTGACCTGCATGACCCCATACTGACCCCGTCCATCTAACCCTCTCTCCCCAGATACTTAGTCCGTCGTCAACAGCAGTGGGCAGACGAAGAGCGAAGACGGATCGAGTCAGCCCCCGACCCGGCCTGTCCCCCGGGACATATTCGGATGGCAGACGGGGAGAGGCTACAGACGCTCGATGTGCTCAAAGAGAGTGAGTTGGGAACAGTTTGTGTGGGGCTGGGGAGAGGCTACAGACGCTCGACGTGCTTAAAGAGAGTGAGTTGGGAGTTCATAAAGGCTACACAGTTTGTGTGGGGCTGGGAAGAAGCTATAGACCTAGGGTGTACTCAAAGACAGTGAGTTGGGGAGGCTCGGGAGAGGCTATAGACCTAGGGTGTGGTCAAAGAGAGTTAGTGGGGGAGGCTCGGGAGAGGCTATAGACCTAGGGTGTGGTCAAAGAGAGTGAGTTGGTGAGGCTCGGGAGAGGCTATATATAGAGTAGGTGAAGGGTTGGCGAGAGGCAACACACGCTCGATGTGGTCAAAGAGAGTGAGTTGGGGGGCTGGGGAGAGGCTATAGGCCTAGGGTGGGGTCCAAAGAGAGTGAGTTGGGGAGGCTCGGGAGAGGCTATAGGCCTAGGGTGGGGTCAAAGAGAGTGAGTTGGGGAGGCTTGGGAGAGGCTATAGAGTAGGTGAAGGGTTGGAAAGAGGCTACAGACGCTCGACGTGCTTAAAGAGAGTGAGTTGGGGGCTGGGCAGAGGCTATAGACCTAAGGTGTGGTCAAAGAGAGTGAGTTGGGGGGGGGGGGGGCTCGGGAGAGGCTATATTCTGAGAGAGTGAGTGGGGGGGGGGAGAGGCTACAGTGTGCTTAAAGAGAGTGAGTGGGGGTTTGGGGAGAGGCTAAATAATTTGTGTGGGACTGGGGAGAGGCTACAGGGCAAATGTAAAGGCTATGAGAGGCTCAATGCACCTAAATATCATACGATTTTTTTTTTAATTTGTGTCTCAAGAGTCACTTGTTTCTGTGTATGAACGGGACATCACCTGTTCCATGCGCTCGGATCACACATGTCACATGACATTTTTATATGCCTGTTGTCCGCAGATCGATTGTCCTATAAGTATACGCCTGTATCCCTTACGTCACGTGACCTGCCTGTTTGCGCCCCCAGATCACGTGACGCTGCTCTCGGAACTCCGTTCGCTCCCCATCGCCCATACTTCGTCTCGTCTGGTAGCACAGCGGGCAGATTTAGAGCGGCAGCTTCAGAAAGTGGAGGAAGGCATCAGGATATTCAGCCGACCCAAGGTCTTCATCAAGAACGATGCGTGAGGATGAAGGGATACCTTCATAGCGTGAAGGAATTCCTTCGTTCTGTGAAGGGATTTTTTTCGTGCGAAATGCTAGGATTATGTAGTTTCGGGCGCCTCATACGTTTGTTGATTCCCCTTTCATCATTGAAGGGTAATGAGAATTTGTTGGAAGTTGGGTTATGTCCATGGTGTATAAATATTTAATTAAACAGAACAAGACATGGGGTACCCATAAGATTAGTTACGATCTCGTTTCCATACCAAAGAAGCAGGTCCCAGTCAGCTCGCCCCAGGCGACGTTTCGTTAGTGTCTATGTGTTCGGTGGATAGTATGATGTCGTTCATTTCTCTAAAGGCTATTGGTCTCTAGTGTTTCATTCACTGCTCGGGCAGTTCAAGTTTAGACATTACGTACCAGTATGTGATAAGGACTTTGCCCAAATTCATAGTTTATCTATCGGCAGGACGTCACATTATCATCACCTGGATGTTCTTTCGTTTTGCTTTTTACATAACATCTGATCGCAGAGTCCATAGGAGGTTTCAATTATCATTACCATACTACGTTTATGGTAATTAACATGAAACTAAGATACCTGAACCTGGCCTTGACCTAGGTACTTGATTGGAAACCAATTGCAAAGTGCCTCATCTTCTTGGAAATGGCGCACAAGAGAAGCACAATGAACCTTAGAAGATGTCCACTTCTTATAACTGCCTAACACATTGTCCATGATATTTGTTGCTATGTCATCCAAAAAATGTTATTCATGTTCTAGTTAATTAGCTTTAATTTCATAAATAACTCGTGTCACATAGTGAACGTTTTGTTGTGTGCAAGCAATCAATCGGCAAGCATCACAGCTGTGCACTTGCTTGTTGACTAAGTTACTTCACAGTCACCTGTCGTATATTTATTGCACTCGGTCGATAATATGTGACGTAGATTTCACAATCGCACAGTGTCGTAAAGCGAACGTATATCGTAAATACGTACAACCTTATCGGGTATGTGTGGGGCACTATTTTCAAAGAAGAAGCATGTTCCTACCCTGCCACTGTTTGTAAGGTCGTGAATGTACCGTCTTGTCAGTGCAACTTCAGCCTTAATGTCAGTAGTAGATAGAAACCTCGCTCCAAATGGCTCAAATATCAATTTAACTATCCACGTGCAAAGATTTGGCTCGCCATAACACTGAAAGTCTAGCATTATGGGCAACATTTCCAGAAAAAGTACGATATAACGGAAGCGATCCCCTGGCGTGCTGATAGTCTGACCCCAATTCCACTACATTGAATGCTGTTATTAGTCTCTGGCAAAGCTGACATGTAGTGAAATGAATTGCGGACCGTCTTGTGGGTGTGTGAAGTTGAGCTGCGCGCTAGAGATTGGGAAGTATGTGACGATATTCGCGTGGCACTTATCTATTGAAATGGCCACATTATTCGTGCGTATGGTACAAAGTGTCGCATGAGTCGCGTGTTCACAATAAAACGCACATTCCACCTTTTTTGACGTTTTGTTGGTGTTTCGACAACGTATGTTTTCACTTTTTACGCGTTTGGGATTATAACAAGCTATGTTGCCCGTGCTCTACCAATGTGCTTCTTTGGAGTAGCGCTGCAGTGTCATTTTGTACATCATTTCTGATGGAACGAAAACGTATCGTATGGGGTGAATGTGGAGGCGGTTTTTATCCTATATATGGCCTTGGTTTTTATTTTATCTCGAGTTTTCCAGTCCATGGACCATTTGGCGTTTACCGTTTGACATGGATATTTATGCCATTGCCAAACGATCAACACACTGGATTTGCACAGCCTGACATCTCTTAGTTTACACTGCATGTCGAAGTCATTGTAATAGCCATTACAACTCACGCCGAGTGCATCGTTAAAGGTTTCCGAGGGCGAGAACTCAGATTCATTTCCTTGTCGCCGGAAGCCCAGCAGCCCGAGGCTGTAAATGCGACTGGCGCGTCCTCTATTCGCATCGAAGCAACCTTCAATGACTTTCCTTGCCGCCTATGGCGCTAGGAATCCAGCTTTCCTCTCATTTAGATACGATAGACGCGTTTACATAGGGTTTGTTGCAAACTTATATCTCCGTCCGTGATATTGCAAAAGATGCAAATGGTGCTTAACAATTTACAAAATGATCCCCTCTAAATATTTGAAGACCACTGCAACGAAATTATCGCCAAATTAACGAGCTAGAGCCTCGTCAAATATGCTATGTAAACCGGGTTAATGAAAGAACATCACAACATATGCTTCTATCATTATTGATTTCTTTTCAAGACCTGTTGAAAGGCGTAGGAATTGTCTTGTTATTTTGCTTTTAAAATGACAAGAGTCATTTGCTGTCAAAAACATGGATGATTACCAGCAAAACTTGCGGCTCTATATAATGGCTTTTGGTAAACTGAGCACCTGAATGCCATTGTTAATTTTCCTCAATTTATTTCTTTCAATTTTAAATCATTCACAATTGATCACACTTGATGGGTTAACAAAAATAGAAAGAAAATCATTCATCTTATACATAAAATATTTTATCTCCGGCGGTGCCGCATCACGGCCTTTTCCGCGCAAGCATTGTCGCGCCGACAGTTAACAAAATGGTAAGTATTTATATTCTATTTATAAATGGTACGTATTTATTGTTTAAAATGTTTTTCGATTCCGAAAAAGTCTTAGCGATGTGTGATTTCCTAGTGCTTTCTTTTGCCTTTGAAAACATAATTTTGGCTTCTCAGCCCGTGTTGTGATTTCCCATTCACGAACTTACGTTGTTGACATTCGAATTATTGCTTTCAGAGTGAAGGAACCGCCACTATTCGCACGAGGAAGTTTATGACCAACCGCCTGCTATGCAGGAAGCAGATGGTTGTTGATGTGCTCCACCCGGGCAAGCCGGGCCTGAGCAAAAACCAGATTCGCGAGAAGCTGGCGAAGATGTACAAAGTTACCCCGGACGTCTGCTTTGTCTTTGGCTACAAGTAAGTGGTACATCAACATTTGCATTAAAATCAACTGCAGGGGACTGTTTGGGGTAACCAGGAATTGAAGGCTAAAGTGTCCTCTGAATATTGTTGTCCAGATCAAGATGGAAAAATTCATAGATACCCAGTAACTACGCTCTGCCCAACATGTCAGGGATTTTTATGCCCTGAAATTCAGTACAAGTGAATTTGTGCTGAAATGTTATCATAATTTGCACCTAATTTGGAAACTATGGCATTTATTTGTCTCAAAATTTGACTTATAAGAATTAGACATACTCATGCTTATGTATGCATTATGCAATACATGCTGAAAAGTTGACACTATAAAAGTGAAGGTTAAGAAGAAATTACTTCTTAATTGAAAAGAAAGTAGGTACCGTAGAACGGGGTGTTAAGGGACAGTTTTGAGGTGTTTTGTTATATAACTCAGAAGGGTTGGAGATAGAAGCATCAAATTATCAGCATTTTATGTGGAATTTGGTGCTTTACATGCCTGCCACATTTAAGTTTTTAAGATTTATACCTGCATATTATTTTTTATTATTTTTCATCACTGTCCCTTAGCACCCCAATGTGGGGTGTTAAGGGACACCTATATTATTCCAAGAAATGGTCATCAAATGCCCACAATTGGGGTGTGGAAGGGCACAAAATTTATTTATTGAAATGTTTTGCATATTCTGTCACAAAACAAGTCAGGTTCATTCACCACTAATGACCTTTTTAGCCAATTACGTGTAATGCAGTTTACGCTTGTGGAAAATGTGCTAATCATAAGGTAAACAGAACCAAAAAGCAATCTTCTGTCATCAATAAAAACCCATGTTGAAGCTTGTCACTTGTCATTATGTTTGCCCTCTTTGTTTTAGCCTTTTTATGATGACATCACATTTACTTACATCAGTCTCCATTGACCCATCATTGTAAAAGAGAGTGTTGAGATGTTTTGTTACATAACTTAAGATGTGTTAGAGATAAAAGCATGAACCTGCCAGCATTTTATGTGGAATTTGGTGTTTTCCATGCCTACTTATAGTCCGTTTTTCTTATCTTTAGACTTCACTCCAAGATGTGCAGATAACTTAGCACGTGACGTCACACAATTTGATAATAAAAATCAAGCGTCACGCTCATTGCCACTGGCTCTAAAAGCGAACACACCATATGTCTGCTGTGTATCAAGGAAATCTGAGACTTTTATATATCTTTTGAAATTTATATCCATTCGTATACAATAATATGCAATGCTCTCAAAACTTCGGCAAGGAAAACCGATCGGTGCACAAGCGAGACAAGTGGTTTATAATGTTTACCAATATTTTATTCGAAAGAAAGATGAATACCTCAAGCAAGGTGATGAGAGTGCAGCGGCTAGCATTAACGTAGCGAAGGAGACCAGCTCTGCTACTGGAGTGTCGATTGCCTCTGTTAACCCGCGCCCTGCTGGGGGTCATGGATTTCCACGCCCTGCTGGGGGGGTGTTTGAACACCCCCCCCCCTTGTAACTCGGCTCCTGGGCCACGTAGCGATACGCGGAAGGCGGCGTTCGAAAGAGCGTAAAAAATAATGACGAAATCACTTCGGTCAATTTTTTGGTCAGGTCAAAGGTCAGGTCACCAGAGGTCATTGAAGGCAAAATTTCGCCGATTTCCAGGTCGAATGTCGAAAATTTCCAAGAAGCCAACGCATAACTCGGGAACCAATAGAGCTACAGCGCCGCGGAAAAGCGCATTCGATAGCCCTATTAACGCCCTTTCTGAGTAATTCTCTCAGATTTGACCTAACGTCAACGGTTTTGCCTGCAGGGGGCAAAAACTGCAAAAATAGCCGATTTTTTTGAAAACAGTTTTTCTGCAATAACTTTTGACCCAAGCCTTGTACGAGCTTACTTTTACCGGCATCGTGTTCCTCTCGTCAAGACGCATCGAATGAACTATAACTTGACCTTGAAAGGTCAACTTGAAAATTTGACCTCAGGTCAAGGTCATGACCTGACCGGAAAGGGTCATGTTGCATATCAGTCGATCCGTATCGTCGAGCTGAACACATTTAAGGCGTTTTCATCGCTCTAGCATGCCTCTATCAAAAGTTATTTGCGAAAAACTGTTAGATACCATTCGTGACCTAAGATGACCTCAGGGCATAAACAAGGGTCACGGACACCATTTTTAAGTTCAGTGTGTCTAAACCACTTGTAATTCGGTGTTTGGGAGTGTTTATAATGTCTTTCATCCAAAAGAGGCGCATTTCAATTTTCTCCCATTGACTTATAATGGGGAGGTCGCAAAATTGACCTGATCTTAGGTCATCGATATCAAAATTCTGAGATATACATTTTGTACATGCTATTGCTCTTAGCAATCGCTGAAAGTTTCAAAGCGATCGGTCACTCGGTGTAGCTATGACAGACATTGAAAGTTTTTATGAGGTGAGGTCACTTCAAGTGACCTGGTGACCTGACCTTGAATGACCTTGGTCTGAAATTTTCACAACATGTGTAGAATTGATGTATGATAAGGTGTACCAAAAACGGCGGCGCTCCGCGCCGCCGTTTTTGAGATTTTCGCGAAAAACCACAAGGGGGGGTGTTCAAACACCCCCCCCCCAGCAGGGCGCGGGTTAATGCATTCAAGAGTGGAATAGAGACACATGGATGCCAGTCTCCAGCCCGCCAGCGCCCTAACAGGGGGCCACGCGAGTACTTCGACGAGTTTGACCAGTGCGCGTTCAGAAGAATGGTGCATGCCATGTACCTGGAAGGGAAAAAGGTCACTTTGGACACCATTAGAGCGGCAGTTCAGGACAAGTTCGAGCAGACTATCTCGCGCTCAACCATACGAAAGCAGCTGTTCCAAATAGGATTCAAGTTCCGACAAGTGAACAACCGAAAGCTGCTGGTTGAAAAACCTCAGGTGGTGGCAGCCCGGAACGCGTTCCTGAGACGCATTCGGAAGATTAGAAGCTCCGACCCAGAGCGCACTATAGTGTACTTGGACGAGACCTGGTATAACCAGTTTGATATGCGAACGGTCGCGTGGTTGGACAGTGACGACGTGGCCGGCCATAAGCCAGTGACAGGGAAGGGCAAGCGCCTAATCATAGTCGATGCTGGCTCGGACAGCGGCTTCACCCCAGGAGCATTCATGTGTATGAGGACGGACGGCAAGTCTGCCGACTATCACACGTCTATGAACGCGAGCTGTTTCGAGGACTGGTTTCGACTCCAACTTCTGCCGAACCTGCCAGCGAATAGCGTGATCATTATGGATAACGCCTCGTATCATTCAAGATGTGCTAACAAGGCACCTACAGCTAGCTGGAGGAAGGAAGCGATCCAAGAATGGCTGCGGGTACATGATGTCAATCCTGATCCGGACTTGCGGAAGGTCGAGCTTCTTGAGCTGGTTCGCCCTCTGAAACAGACACGCGAGTATGTGTTGGACAAGGTGGCACAGGAGGCCGGTCATGAAGTACTGAGGTTGCCCCCATATCATTGCGACCTCAATCCGATTGAAATGGTTTGGGCAAACATGAAGACGCACGTCCGCCAGTTCAACAACACTGGGCATCTGAATGACGTGGAAAGGCTGCTGCTGGATAGCCGAGACGCCGCGCCACCGGACTTGTGGCGAAACTGCTGCCGCCACGTGCGAGAACTGGAAGAGGTGTACTGGCGAGCAGATGGTATGATGGAGGACATCGAGCCAGTGATCGTGTCACTTCAGGATTCGAGCAGTGACGACAGTGACAGTGAAAGTGATTGAGGGCGCATGGGACCTACGATGGCTTCGGTGAACCAAACATACCCAATATACGAGTACGACTCCTGTGTTTCCTGTCTTTTGTAATTTGTATTACGAGTTACTGGTGGTAGATTTGTAGACACTAGCGGGTAATACGAGCAAAACATGTCATCACATTGAAATAGTATGTATATTTGTTAATTTCGATCAATGCTGCATTCATCGCTAAACACACGCTCATATAGCCAACTCGTGTTGGTAGCCTGCGCCGCTGAACACGCATGTCCTGCGGGTTGCCTACCTCCACAGGCATAATTCATCTCCGCCTCTCGTCACGCAGTCTAACCCGTCCACATGATACTTCGTGAGGATTACAACGTCACAGTCAATACTATCGAAAACGCGTTCACTCGAATGTCTGCGATAGCGAACCACAAACCAAGTGCTTCACGACAGTCGCCAGAACTTGTTACGAGCCACACGCCGAGCTCCTTCAAGAATTTCCTTGCATTGGGTCCGCACTCGCAGTCGCACGCACCTGCGGTTTCAAAAAACTTCGGCTGGAACCAAGCCCTATAGGTCTTGAACTAAAGTCACTGATGATGACTTGTGTCCATTTGCAGAATAGTTCATTTCCAAGTGATATTCGCTTTTATAGGTACCCTTTAATTCATCGGATCGATAGTTCGGTTAGCATACCAAACTTTATCCAACTTAATTTTTGTAGCAGGTAGGTATAAGTACCTACCTATTTATGTAATACACATTTGTGAGACTACAAATCTGCACTTGCCGCACCCAAGAGCGCCACTCTCCAGGCTTCAAGGCAATATTTTCTGTTTCCGAAGGGCTTGATTTTTTCTAAGCCATGCTTTGTCTCGTGCATATCTTGCGAAACATCTTGGAGTGAAGTCTAAAGATAAGAAAAACGGACTATAATTAAATTATATTTAGATATTATTTTTTTATTTTTTCTTCCCTGTTCCTTAGCACCCCACATCCACCTCAAAATATGCATGTATCCGGAAAAGAGGAAGAGGATGATGAATGAATGGGTGGATTTGCACAAGTTTTTCAGGTAACATGTGCAATACATGTGACAATACACCTATGCATTCATTTTCCCTGTACACCCACTAGTTTATGTGGTACACACAGAGTTTTGGAGATGTTTCAATTTTGTGAAAATGTAGCATGATTTTCAAATCCATTTTTGAACCAAATCACTTGCATGAAAAACCATACCATTTTCTCCTATGGTCAAGAGCAAAACAGTGTCAACTACCACACTGAAGTTTTTATTGAACCTTCTCAAATTAGGAAGTTAATATGACTCAAAGTTTTTCCCATGCAACTGTCCCTTAACACCCCACTGTCCCTTAACACCCCATTTTACGGTACACAAGATTGCTATGTGGATATGGGACTAAGATATGATACATTTGAGTGCAACAGCAGCAGGTACTGCATTTTATGGCATCCTCTTCCCATTCGCTAGCTGTGTGTGCATGCGGGATACGTTCATCCGCCAGTGGCCTGGGGTTAGCTTGTTCCCTTTGACCATGAACTTCTGCAGCAATATTTTTAATAAGCAGTTGAGTGTTATGCCATTCATTTCTAGGACGTCAATGTTAGGAATATTGCTATATATAACACCAGTACCAGATAACAGTGGTGGATCCAGGGGGGGGGGCAAATGGGCATTTGCCCCCCCCCCCCGCCCCAAACGGCATAATTTTAGCATTACGCCTATGGACGATGCATGGAAAGAATCGATAAATTGTTATGGTTTGCCCCCCCCCCCCCCAAAAAAAACCGAGCTGGATCCGTCTCTGCCAAATAATAGGCAATTATTCAGAGCACCGAACTCTGATCATCATACTGTACTGCATGCAAAACTTCTGTTTCTCTTCAGATATCTCGGCAAACAAACTGCCTCCCAAACATTATCACACCACATTACATATGGCATGCGCAGGTCCCTCGGGCATAGTAAGCTGAGCTCTGTTCGCCCCCCGTTTATTTATCAGCAGGCTGCGACACCATGCTGCTACTTCTTAGCTCCTCATTGGTCGAATTCAAGTGGTCTATTCGTTAGAGCAATGAGAGGCCAAGAGGCGCCAGCAATAACTTCCTTATATGGGGAAAAGCGACAGCACGCTGATATAAAAACAGCGACCGAAAAGGGCCCTGATCAGTCTTCTTGAGCCCTGTGAAACCACACAGGGACAGTTAACAGTGCGAGTAACCTCATTCGGATGGGATCCACTCCAGATATAACTAGCGGTTAGGAGCATGAATATCTGGCGACAGACTCAAATGACAGCAGTCGCAGGTAATGCGTTTCTGACTCAAACATATGGGCTAGTGTTAAGAAGACACATTATCAACCAAGCCAGTCTGCACCTTAGTTCTAATCAGTGTATAGAAATCTTGGTTCTAACTGATTTAGGGCTGTCACAAATGTCAGGTACTTATGCGGAACAGGTCGATGGCAAGATTTTCTTCCTGTTTTCCAATTAAAGGGAGATAATGAGCTTTCTTTTTTCTTAAATAAAAATTACTCGACATCTTTACTATTTCTACTGTAGTTTCTATAAAATATGAAAATTTCCTAGCACATTTTCGTATGTGAAAAAGGTTTTTATTTTTGCAAAAAAGAAGCAGTACTTGCAGTACTTGTAACACCCACCGAAATGCGTTGTCCTTCTCTATGAAAAAGTCGCAGTATATGGCGCTTTTGTTTCAAACAGCGACGCTTGGGTTTTTGTTTATGTTATCGCCTTGTCGTTGCTTGGTTGTAAGGATTATAATTTGAATTAGAGTTAATTCGGTTTAGAATTAATTAGATTCTAATTTGGGGGTACATAGTGCCTACTCTTCTTTGTTTCCAAGTATTGTTTTGCGCCACAAATGAACGGCATGCGCCAGAAACGCAGCCAAATCTTGCGATTGCGACTACGAAATTCATTATTTTGGCCTCAGAGCCTGAAGCGAAAAATACAAGCATATTTATTTCAAAAAGACTTCAGGTTTGTCGAACGGTGTTATGAGAATTTTGATAACAGTACTGCATAAGTTTTTCAGTGATGCCGCAAAAGTGTTGTATCTATCTTCTTTTATTGTGCAGTCGGCGGGACCGATTCAAAATTGAGTCGTTGCTACTAAAATAGCAGCATATGGCGACAGATGATGAACAGGAAAAATAGTTGCGTAAATTTAGACATAAACCACCCCCAAACCATGAATATCTTTTGAAGGCACTATAGACGACCATTAACTAACTAGATGTGATGAAGATCAAATGTAATGAATACGCTCATTTTACAAAATTACATGCAAGTACCAAAAAGTGATGTAAGTACCTATTCAACGGTCATTTTCAGCGCTCCCCGCTAACGTGACTTCAAGTTGAGATATTTGCGGCAAGGTACCGAATTGAGCAAAATGGTTTTGATTTACATTATAACTTGTTGTGTTTTGTCAGAAAATGGTCCTAACTCAGATTTTGTGGAAAAAGGTCATAATCTCCCTTTAAGATGTACAATTTGAACAAATTCCCGAAGAAGGCGTCTGCTCGAATCAATTTGATAAAAAAGTAACCGAATTCAAATCATAACCCGCACATCACACATTACACACGTGCCTTTTCTCGCCAGGAACCACTTCGGCGGCGGTCGCACTACCGGCTTCGCTCTCATCTACGACACCCTGGACTTTGCCAAGAAGTTCGAGCCCAAGCACCGTCTCGTCCGACACGGCCTCCTCAGCAAACCTACCGGCGGCCGGAAACTGCGGAAGGAACGCAAGAACAGGATGAAGAAGGTCCGCGGCACGGCCAAGGCGAAGGTCACAGCTGGAAAGAAGGTGAGAAAGGAGAGGGAGGTGGTGAGGTGAGAGGAGGTAAGTTGGTGGTTGTTGGAGGGGGAGGGTAGGGATTGAAGGGATAGAGGGTAGTCTTGGATCTGGTAGAACCCAATCATTGTATTCCTGGAATAGAAGGGTCCCCGCTAGAGTTGCAAAATTTCCCCCAAAGGCTGCTACCGGCACCGCCCCGCCCCACAAAAATTTTCTGGGATACCGGCATGCTACCACGACCCAAGCAAAAACACCACCAAATTACCGGCATACTAAAAAACCTGCAATGTTGATTCTAGCCTACCCCTACAAGAGATGCCACACTTTGACAATTTCAGTACCCATCCCAGTTCCCACCCAGCAGCCACCCAATGTCCAACCTAACTACGAACAGGATGATTTTGGCTCAGTTGGCCCCACAAATACCCACAATTTTGAAACTCAGTTCCAGTCTATAACTGTTAAATATCACGTGTAATCAAAGAGGTATTGCCTACAAAAAAGCAGTAAGAAAAAAGCATCAAAAAAGCAATGACAAAAAGAACTTAAATTACTGAATTGTTTCTGAAGACTGGACAGTTCAAGTTAGCAGTAATCACATTAACATTTCAGAGGTGTTCTGCTATTCCACATTCTCCTAAAATGTTGCAGGAACCTACCAACCAAAATCAAATTTTGAAATCTAGATGGCCACATTATAAAAAGTACCTACAGATTCGGCCATGTGCCTGAGGAAGCGAGATCAACACCTTTTTTCCTTTTCGCCATGGCTTGCTGGCTCATGAATAAGATACGAATCATTTGAAAAATGTGAAAAACTCACTTGTCCTGAGAACAGTCGCCAAATAATATGCATAAAAACGATATAATAACCTCTTTCTCGAAGAATCTTCCTCCCCAAACACAAGGTTATCAACTATCAAAGATTTCGAAACAGATGCGCCATAATAACAGAGACTTTTAACCAGCTGATTAAATTGCTGCAAAAAAAAAGTTTCTGAACTGTAGCAAACTGCCTCATAAATGATTTGTTGATGTAAATGATCCAAAACGATATTGAATTCTGATGTAATCAACATTGTGAGTTTAGTTCACTACAAGAAAATGCATTCCTTTCAGGAATTAAACTAAAAAGGCATACGAATGAATAATACGTCATCATCTTACATCCTTTCATCAGGGGAGAGAAGATCTAAAAAGTCAATCCTTGGTTCCCCTGTTATTCTGCGCCACTTTGTTTATTTTGTATGCATATTGTGTTTTCTTGTAAAGATGAGACAAAATGCCAGTTTATTTGATTTTCATTTCATTTTTGGGACCAAAGTCAGGCTCAGGGCTACCTAATACCTGCCTTTTCAGCTGGATTTTCAGTGTCAAATACTTTGTAGAGTATCTCAGACCACATCTCAGGACTCAAGGCCAGTTTCCAAACAATGTGTTTTGTGGTGTTTTGATTCTGCCTTTTCCTCTAGGGAACGTTGTCATGAACATTTATTTATTTTGTTGTATTTTACCTATTACATACCTACCATTAGACTTACTGATTGATCGAGCTTTTGCAGCATGAATAAGTATTCTTCCATTTATTGACCACAGTAGATTCTTGACAATCCTAATTTTAACGAAACTTGTGAATCGCTGAGGCCCATGTGTTATCCCTACCCTTAGCAATGTAACTTCTACCACAAAATGTATTTTGCAGTGGCTAATATTGCTGTTATTATAATTTGATAGCCTCTTTAGTGCCCAAAGTTTAAACCATATGCTGATATTTTCTATTTTTGTGCAAAATCAAAAATACCGGCATGCTACCGGCAAGACATGCCAGATACCACGAAAAAACCTGCGGTAGTGAAAATTTACCGGCATGCTGGTAGTGCGGTAGGGAAACTTTGCAACTCTAGTCCCCGCCCCCGGAATAGGTGAACTGCTAAAGACCCGAGAAGGGGATGCTAATTATATACGATCAAGGGTTTGGTGGTGAAATATTGGACAGGAATTGACAGAATAGCTTCAAAGATGGAGACTAGAATTTGAATTAAATCCAGATGATATTAATCTTCAGGCTTAGAAAAGCTGCAAACATGTGAGATTCAGGAAGGGTCCCAGGCTGCAAAAATGTAGGATTCAGGAAGGGTCCCCCTTCCCCCCAGGTCAGGTTAGCACCCTCACCCCCGTCTTAGGTCACATCTATCTGCACCGTTCTACTCGCGTCAGAGTCCTTCCCTAGAGGCTGGCAAACGTAAGAACGAACGGAGCTAAAGCGCCTTACTCATGGCACGTGTTTTGACCACTGCAAATAGAATTCTGAGCATTGACTATGCTCGAAGAAGCCCTGTCCTGTCTTAGAAGTCGGGAGGAAAATGTTCTCTGATACGCAAGAAGCAATGTTAAGACACGTGCGTCAATACCCTGTTGCACTTTCAATCCGTTCTTTGTTACGTTTACCAGAGTGAAGTGTAATCTGCAGCTGACTATTGTATCCTATGCGACATGGATCTCGTCTCGACATACCTTCCATCTCTTAGCAAGGAAGGAGCGGCGACGGCGGGCGGCGTGGGCCCAGCGATGGGCCCGCCATGGGAGGGGTGGGGTGGTGGTTAGATTGTTGTCATATCGGTGTGGGTTGTGTTGGTGTTTGGGCAGAGGTATCTTGGTATTATGTTGGTTGAGGGGACAGTGTCATAAGGGATGAACCTGGGCATGTGCGCTGATTTCAATGGTGGATTTCTGATCGGCTTGGTAATTGATTCAACATAAATATTAATCTTATTGGATTGCACGATGTGCTTCAATGAAGGCTTCAAAGTGTCATGCTTCCTTGAGGTGTAACAAAAAAGGAGAAATTAGATTCATCTTTCCATAAGGTTTCTAAAGGCTCATGACACCCAATGAAGCTCTAAAATAAGTCACCCAATTCTCCCATTTCCACTTTTTGTCGTCAGCGCACATATCTGGTCGGGACCAGAGCTGCAGTTATATGTCTAGTCATCGCACCGTCTACTTTATAGTTGAGAAAAAGCGCGGACACTGTCTGCAACCTTATGGAATGACCGTCCGACTACCGAACGAAAGCCTCGAAAATAGACCCGGTTCATTCCTGGCTATTCGGTAGTGAAATACTGCAGCTCTTGTTCCGAGTGTTCCGCCCTTTTCGGTGTTCAAATAGGCGATTCAGGTGTAGCTTTCGGTGGCGTCTCTGTCCTCTAAGAAAAAGGGAAACAAGGACAGTTTCTGCATGTTTTATATTGTATTTGGCAATGGATTGCGGTCGAATTGCCTCTGCGATTTTGGCGTGAGTGTGTATTTTTTCCAGTGTTCATCGCCAACATGTCTTTCAGTTACTCTTTGAGGTACTTCGACCGCACCTTGTCCACTGCAGTCACTATAAAAGCAAACTCAAAATACACGTGCTAGTGATATATTCATTCCGTATCTCTTCCTGGGATTTGAGAACGCTGCATCGGTTTGGTCCGAAACAGCGTCTTCAAAAGTGCTTCAAAGGTGTATTATGGCTCACCTGACCTTTGCTTCGTGTCACAACATACTGAAACATAGCCAAACTTGTACTAGCAACGCGTAAAATGAATATTTTGATGAATTATCACTACAAGGGTATCATCTGACAAGCATTCGACCAAATTATGGCAAGATATTTGGTCGATTGCTTGGTGTGTTGAGGTCCCTATGGTCGAAAATTTACTGATTACACTACCGATATTGCAATGTAACCATAAGATAAACTCTATAGCATGTTGTGATACGAATAAAACGGCAGTTGAATCATCATCCACCTCTCTACCTTCTTCGCTATACGCTTCACAGTTCGTTCTCGTGTTCCAACTTGTCTGCGACATGTTGGGACACGTTCTGGGGGCAGAGGCGCCACCTTTCAGGACGGTGAACGGGTCACGGGCGGTGCCCTGTGGCGGGGCCCGTGACCCGCGCTGTCATCGTTCGGTGAGGGAGGGATATCGTGACGGCATCGTAATGTAACCTAACGGGCATCGTAACGTATTGTTATGAACTTGGGACGTCTTGTAAACGTAACGGATGCTATGAGCGTTGAGATTTTGATAGACGTATTTGCTTATGCCATGCTTGTTGCTTTTTGAAGAGACGTCTGCTTGTTTTGAAACAAAGGCCGAAAACGATTACCTTTCGCACCGAACGCCTAGGGTGTATAGGGGGCTGTGTGTGTGTGTGTATGCAATGCCAGGGCAGTGTCCTGAAATTACTCTGTGTATGTTCAAGACACTGCTGGCAATGGTGTGGTGTACGAGTATGTATTGTTTGCCGGTATTTAATCACCGGCGCTGGGTGTAAGGCGCCGCACTTGTGTATAGAACGCTGTTCGGCACGGCTATCACATTCGGAGACGCTTCTGGTTGCCATGACGACTATCTCTAGTTGCCAAGGTGACCCCTTGTAGTTGCCATGGCGATTGCTTTGACTAGGGACTCAGTTCCTCGCGATGCAAAGCTGCGTCGCCTTTAGATTCATTTATAAAAAGAAACATTTGTAATGCTATCACCAATTGTGATTTTTCTTGCAACAAAAGCAGATCACATTCAAAATTATCTTGAAAGTTTTTCTATAGTCGAACAAAATTTCACAGGTTCATGGTTCACACGTCATGGCACTAAAACCATTCCGCCTTTTGCGCGGCATATCCGTCGATGGCCGTGTTTTGAACACCGCTCAATGCTCGTGTGTACGCCGAACTAACTACGACTGTTCATTCGCAGCGTTAAACATCTATCAGCACAGCTCAGCGGCGGCATCGGTGGGTTTTCTGCATGTAATTAGCAGCTAGTCAGCGCCCAAAAGAGCCGGATGAGGCTCCTAGGGAGTTAATGCATGTGCTGCTTTTAGAGATAAAAGATTTTAGTGGATTGTGTGATTGAGAGTGTGCGTAATGGAGAGTTAGTGTTTTCTGAAGGCACTCTGGGGTAATGAAACTATATTTTTCGTATCAGTTGCGGGATACAGCCATGAGCCTAAATATGGAGTTCCTGGGGCAGATGTGTGGAGCAAGTAACTCTGAAGTTTGTGTATTTTATATTATAAACTGCAAATCATTGATCCAAAAATTTGTCTCGGTTTCTATCCAGACATTGTTCAAGGACGTTAAAAGCGTCACGGTTTGTTTTCACTCAATCTTGAATTGTCCACACAATATGCCCCATGAGCACTTATTAGAATACGATAAGTCTATTTGACCGATATCGGTGATTTAACTGAATATGCGCTTATACTCTAAACACGTCTACCAGAGTGCCTTTTGAAAATGCTAGCGTATTTTTGCGCTACACTGTCGTGTAAGGCGCAACTCATCTTTGCATTTTAGCCTAATAATAACGGCGAGCTACAGCCGTTTGGCGCTCGACAGTCTTGATCTCTAAACGAACTAAATGAACTGCTCAGTCTGAGTCAGCCCTACACGACAGTTGCCTGTCCCCGTCCTCCCGACTAAGTATAAGTTTAGGTTAAGACCCCACCCGAGGAATATATGCGTGTGTGAGAGGCTGCTGGTAGTGGTGCGTGTTTGTGAGAATCGGTGAGCGTACTAGACGGGTGTGAGAGACTGTAGGAGTGCTGCTGTGTGCCCCGTCTCCCTCTAATTTCAGCTCGCCAACCGGTCAGCACTGGTCGTGATTTAGTTTGTAGTTGCACCCCCACATGTGCTGTATGTATGCCACACCAATGTTCTTATGCCTGTGTTCCCCTTCCCTCCCCAACCCCAATCGCTGCATTGACATCTTTAACCTTATTCCTTTTGCCATATTGTTGTCTTACTCCCGCCCGTTTGCTGCTTTGCTTTGCCACGACCATTGCCACGTTGTTGTCCGTACTGATTTGACCAGCCTGATGTTTTTTTTACATAATCTCCCTCCATCCCCCCCCCCATTGAACATGTTACATTGTAAATTCTCCACGACGTGACTGCATTGATGCTGTGTTCCTTTTATCACTTTGTTGTCCTCTTCTGAACCTTTTGCTGCACTGGTTTGTCACGCCCTTTTTCCTTTTGTCATATTGTCATTCCCTTTTAACTGTAATGCTGCATTGTTTCGCCATTTATTTTTTTGGCAATTGTCCAGCCCGCCCCTCTTGAAGCATCTACAAGAGGGCGTGCGTTGCCCCGCCTTAATCCTTTGTAATTCCTCCCTTCACGTCGCTATTACTACACTTGCTGCTTCGTTCTTGTAATAAGTAACTGAGAGTAGACCATGTAAATCCACCATGTAAATCTGTAAATCCACGGGAGTAGTGGTGTGGCTCTGATAGCACCTGTACCTCAAATACTCGAAGGCTTCGAGCATCCGAGGTTGCTCTTTGGTGATGATTTGTTGCATCTCTTGCTGCTATATCGGTTTTATCCGTGCATATTTCTGCAGCGCAACCATTGTCTGGTTCGAATGCGCTTCAAAAGTTCATTCGTAATTTGTCGCTTAGTTCTCAGTGCTAACCAAAGTGCACTATTTCATTCACTCCTTGGGATATAGCTATGTTTGGCATCATCGAAATTAACGTTAATGAGCCAATTTTTTGACATCCTCATGGGCGTACGATATTTCGATAACGACGTAAGGTTACACTGATCTTTCCAACTACTCGCAGGCCCAGTCATATTCTTACCTTCCTTCCTCCATAGTCCACCAGCCCCTTCTTTCAGATATTATCCCTCCCCCCTCACCTCTGATATGGCTCCTCAAAATCACCATCTATCTTTCACATTACCTCCCTCCTTCCTTCCATTCGCGTATACTCTCTCTCTCTCTCTCTCTCTCTCTCTCTCTCTCTCTCTCTCTCTCTCTCTCTCTCTCTCTCTCTCTCTCTCTCTCTCTCTCTCTCTCTCCCCCTCTCTCTCCCCGCTCCCTCGTCTGTGTTTTATTGACCACTGACTGAATCTGACGCCTCTTTTATTCGTCTGTTTGCAGTAGTAAGACCGGGGGTGACGCTCTACCATCGAGTCATCCGCTTTATACCGCTCCTCCACAATGTCTGATCGATAATATACCTGTCGGACCGTCAGCTCAGCTTTGTGTCGCTGCTGGAGAGAGAGTAAGGGAGGCGGTGGGGGAGAGTAAGGGAGGTGGTGAGGAGAGAGTGAGGGAGAGAGAGAGTGAGGGAGGTGGTGGGGAAGAGAGTGAGAGAGTGGTGAGGGAGAGAGAGTGAGGGAGAGAGAGAGAGAGAGAGAGAGAGAGAGAGGGGGGGAAGGGAGGGAGAGAGAGAGAGAGAGAGAGAGGAGAGAGAGAGAGGGGGGAAGGGAGGGAGAGGGAGAGAGAGAGAGAGAGAGAGAGAGAGAGAGAGAGAGAGAGAGAGAGAGAGAGAGGGGGGGGGGGAGGGAGAGACGTTTAAACGAGGGGTGGTAAACGGTGTGGGGTGGTGCAGATACTGGTAAACGACTAGTGGTTATGAAAATCGCTGCTGCCTGCTAGGGGAGGGGAGGGGAGAAGGGACGGAAACTCGGAGAGAATTGGGAGGGAGACTGGTGAAACGGGGAAGTGGAAGACAGATGTGAACGGAAGGAGAGGCGCCTGTGGGTCTCAGCCGTCCAGGTTTGTTAATACTGGAAGAAATGTCAGTTCACGATGTTGTGGAGAGTCGAAGGGTGTATGGGTCGACGTCAGACGTAGGGAATTTAGAAAGATAAGTGCCGACGAACCAGTAGCGGCGGAACACCTTCAATTAAGGGGGGGGGGGCACTGCCGACTTTTGGTACCGTTCTTCCCATGCAACGCCCATAGGGCTTGTGTTGAATTGCCGAAGTCAGAGGGGGCACGGTGCCCTCCCCGTTCCGCCGCCTATGTTACGAACTGCACTACAGAGCATGCGGGGCTGAGGGGGAGAGCGAGACGCAAAAGGTCGACTCACAGCACCAACAGGTCAATCCAATAGAAACTGATCAGGAGGTGCTGGGAAATTATTTCGAGGCACAGGCGTGGTTCACTTAGCAGTTAGCGGATATGCCGTCTCACACGCGGCGCACTCGACGGATCTGTGGTAAGACTACGGGTGATCAGAACGAGACTGACTAGAGCGCCATCTGTAGCCGCGTCACTTGCGCCATCTGTTCCTGTAGGTTTCCGCTCTTGAGAGCACAGTAAGTACTTCAGCATGGTTGTGGACAGAAGTACGCACACGAATGTTCGTGCGCAAAATTACGTGAGCGCGTAGATGCTTACAAACAATAAAAAGCATCGCTGAGAACCCTAACTTTACCTGACCTAGTCCTAAACCGACCAAACCCAACCTAACGTTACCTAAAGAAAAACCTCAACCCTGGCGGGTGGTCGTATTTGATGGATTCGTAGCCGCTGATCACGAATCTGGCCTCCAGTTTGCTCTAAGCACTCATTTAGAGCCTCAGGATAGCAAAATTGTCTTAAAGGGAGATAATGATCCAGTTGTGATCGTCATTCGGTCTCCTGACGCGCTTGCGAGCGGACGGGTCCAGCGAGAGGTGTTCTGACGACGATATTGGCGCACTGCGAAGGGAGTACTTACTGATTTTTGTTCACTTCAAGTAAATTTAGGACCGTTAGGACCATTATATTTGATCTATAACTTAAGGCTAGGACACTAGATTGTGCATTGAGCAGTTTCAGTTTTTTCAGTTTCTCAATCCTTTAGTTTGAGTATTACGGGGAGGCCCAGTGATGGATAGTGAGATGATAAAAAAGCTGGTGATGGAGGCGGTGGAGAAGGAGACTTCGGTTTTGAGGGATGAGTTAGAAAAAGTAAAAAAAGAACAAAAAAAGAGCAGTGAGGTGATTGAAAACTTGAAAACGGAAAACAAAAAGCTGTGGGAGGAGATAACAAAGGTGGATAGAAACCTAGACGAGGTTGAGCAGTATAACCGAAAGACCTCTCTGATTCTGGGTGGGGCTTTCCCTGAGGGTGAAGAGGGGGAAACTCCTAGTGAGACTAGAGAGACTGTCAAGAAAATCATCAAGGAAAAACTGAAAGTAGACATGAAGGGAGAAATAGTAGCATGCCACCGCCTTCGCAACAAAAAACGAGTAGTTGTGAAGTTCCAGGACCATGATGACAGGGAGGCAGTCTACCAGTCAAAATTTGATCAGGGGGGCCAGCCAGGAGAAAAAATCACTGTGCATGAAAACTTAACTGAGAAAAGAGCCAAAATGATTACAATGCTGGAGGAAATGAGAAAGCGCAAGGAGGTGCTCAACTACTATACTAGAAATGGAAACATCATGGCTAGAGACTCCGCTGAAAAGCGCTACACCCGCATCCAGCCATGGCTGTCAGAGAGAGAGATGTGAAAGCAACTCTTCAAAAGGCAGCCAACAAAACCACACAACAAAGTAACCAGGGCAGCAACTTCATGCGCTCCCAGACACTCTCAGACATCCCTAAAGGATTTGTAGCTAGCAAGACAACCAACCTGGAAGAGTATGTGGTGCCCTCTACCCGGTCTAACCGGCAGACGAAGAAGGGGAACTAAGCACAAGATCAGTGTGAGTAGCAACCTAGCATTATGCAGCATCTGAGCAATGTTTGTGGCGTAGACTGGAGTGTCGGCATACTTTCAACCTTCCGCATCTTAAAATAATACCATGCATACATATACACATTATACAATGTGCCACAATTAATTCATTATGGTGCAAACACAACAATGCAGGTGCTGATCTTGCTACCCAAGTGGCATATAGTGTCAGTTGCAGGAAATGGGCACTGGATATTGGGGCGTGCATTGGCAGAGATATCTGACCCTTTACTGGAGCTCTTCTTAATTGGTTCTCTGATAGTAAATGATCACCTTGATCTTATATGAGCCACCCAGGCGTGCAGCTGCCAGCTCTGCCAGAGTGCTATTGGAGCTGCGTGGCTGCACGTGGAATGAATGTGTGAATGGAATGCATACATGGGTGCTGAAATATGCACCAGTGCCTGGCAGAAAGGCCATTTTAAACATTTTAACCAGGAGACTGGGTGGCTTGCCTTGTTCATAATCTTTATCAGCATTATTGAGCTGCTAACCCTTAAGGAGTTGCTCCTGGTCGGATTCCTGTCTGGTGCATGCCCCTAGTGGCGCTTGGCCACATGAATGGTCACTCAATCACATGGATTGCTGTTGTTGACCAATATGCTGCCTGATGGCTTATAGCAATATGTGCTACATGTGCCTGCACTTTGCACTGATCAGCATACATAACATAATACATACTACAATAATACTACAATATAATACAATAATACAAAATACATTACTACTATAACTTGAAGTAGCATATGCTAAGGTTGAAAGTATGCTGTGCCACAAGATGCACTTTTGGTGCAGCATTGCTCAGATAAAAAAGTAATCAAATCTCCATTTAAGTTCATAACACTCAACATTACCTGTTCCTTTATACTTCAACTTACTTCATATAATCTGGTATACATAACCCTGACTCTGTTGTTGAATGAGGTCTTGCTGCATACTCTTCCAGACTTACATAAACATAAACAAACATCATAGCTACCTACATATCTAATATCTATCCTCCAGTACCTATATCAATATGCATTGCCTTTGTTTACCAACAGATCATAGTACACACGCCACGTGATTCACAAATAGCAGCAATTCAAGGTTGGATTAATTGTGCCTCTGTTGCATATGTCACGTGACATAGGTACATATCTTCTCATTCCAAATAAAAGTGTGTTTAGAAGACTAATTTATAAAAATAAGTTAGAACTCACTGCTCGAGTTTGAGCCATTTTGTTTCCATTTGTAGTTTCAACATTTCAAGCATTACAAAGTATTGCAGTTTATAGTAAAAATTAGCTTGAAATTAGTGTAAAAATAAATCCCACTACTAAAGTTCTTCTTTTATCTGGCCCCTCTGACAAAACGCTTGAACTGGGCTTCCCCGAGTACCGAGAGTGCCTGCTTTTTTGGTCTCTTGGTCTGTCCTATCAGAAAATCCGTAAAACAAGGTATAGTACCTAAATTACAGTATACCTAGTCATTGGTCATGAACCTCGTAGAGTGTTCTGATATCCCAGAACCTCTAAATAGCCAACAATTTAATCCCTTTGCCAATATCACCTCACCTGAACTGCAGGTTGATGACAACAGCTTTAAAACCCTACAATCCTCTTGTGGCTATTTCTCCCTTCCGTCAATGTTTGATACAAATAAATCATCACACTATTTTTTGAATATCATTCATATAAATGCCAGGTCTATTTGCTCAAATGATAAATTTGAAGAACTTCAGTTGTTTTTGACCAGAAGTCATTGTGTTTGGCATATCATTTGCATCACTGAAACATGGTTATCGGACGACCAAATTTCTAATAGACAACTTCCTGGATATACAGGTTATTTTGAGAACAGGAATGGCAAAATAGGAGGTGGGGTGGCAATTTATGTAAATACTGAATCAGTTAAACATTCACTCAGATCTAAAATTAAAACCCTACAATGTACTCAATCAGTTATCATAGAATGCCAAGTCGATAGTTATCCAACATGCATTGTTGGAGCTATATACAAACCTCCAGACTTGGACAGTGACATTTTTTGTTGTGAACTTGAATCGTTGCTTGAGAATATAAATCATGAGAATAAGACAACCTTCCTGGCAGGTGACTTTAACCATGACCTCTTCAATATTGCAAATAATAACAAAACATTAGAATTCTTCAATACACTTGCTTTTCATGGCTTCTGGCCAACTATCTTTAAAACAACAAGAATCTCTGATGAAAGGGGTTCTCTGCTTGATAATATTTTTTGCAACAATATTGAACTGGTCTCCTGCTCTGGGATTATATATGAAGATCTCTCTGATCACTTTCCTATCTTTACCTGCTCTTACCCTCACAAAGATGCCAAAAGACATGACACTTATAAGCTCATCTTCAATGAAAACAGAATGGACAATCTCAAAGACTATATTACTGAGCATCTGCAAAATTTCTCACAAACTACAGATCCAAACATTGCCTCAAACATTCTCATAGATGCATACTCCTCAGGAATAAAGATGTTTAGCACTGAAATAAAATGC